CAGGATGGACAGAGAAGCGGTGCCTCGATGCGCACCCGGGATCCGAACCCGGGCCGCCAGCATCGCAGCGCGCGCACTCAACCACCAAGCCACAGGGCCGGCCCTGGAATAGCCACTTTTCAAGTGCTCAGTAGCCACATGTGGATGTTAGTGGCTACATATTGGACAGCACAGTGTAGAGTAATATTATCATCATAGTTATAGTCTTGTCATATTTTTAGAATTCTGTGTTGGGAAAGAGTTCACACAAATTTCTTACTTATTCTTTCCTTCTGTGCTTGAAAATTGAAAGCCAATGGCTATATATTTTTATTAAACCACACACTCAGTTTTGCAAATTAAGCAATGTAAGTTTGCAAACATAACATAGCTATGGTTTTTATTTTCGGTATTAAAAAAATACAGCATTATGAAATATTATGTTGAAAGTTCAGTATTCAGGGTAATTTTCCAATTCATATACCTTATGAACTACAAATTCAATTTAGGTTGACTTTCTTCAACAAGCTAATAAAGACCTGGAGAAGCAAATACAAGAGCTTATGGAAACCAAGGAAACAGTGACTACTGAAGTTGTTAATTTAAGTAACAAAAATGAAAAACTCTGCCAAGAATTAACTGAAATAGACCAGTTAGCACAGCAGTTGGAAAGACATAAAGAAGAAGTGCTTGAGACTGCTGATAAAGAACTTGAGGAAGCAAAGGTATGTCTAGGTTGTGGGCGGGTTCATTAATGCTCCTAGATCGCAGCGAGCTTGAGCCCTTTTGATATCCAATTTGGGTCTATTGGTTTGTTTTGTAATTCAAGGTTTTCTAAGTGTTCTCTACACCCTCTATATTCTTACACTTGTTCTAGTTGTTTGGATGTCTTGCTGAAGCACACCTCTTAGGATAGCTCTCCAGGCTCTGTGCTATTTTCTTTCAAGATTTTCGTCTCTGTCCTTTTATCTCTGCATTGTGAGCAATCTTCAGAAGTCTGTCCTCTATGTCATTTTATGCTCACAAACCCTTTAAAGGTATTTTTTGAAACTATGTATGTCCTTGCACATTTTTAAGTTGGTAGCTAAAATTTTTCATCTTTAAGCTTAAACAGATGCAAAGGATGTAATTTTTAGTCTATTGTAAATATTGATCTCTTAAAACTGTCACATCATTCTTTTAAATATAGCCAGTGGAATCCAAATGACCCTTTTTTCTTGAAATTCTCACAAAATTTTATCCTGTTTTAACATATTTTATGCTTGAATATCTTTTTATGATCACTCTATCAAACATCTCTGCAATAAAAAAATACATAAATTGGGGCCGCCCTGTGGCTTAGCGGTTTAAGTGCGTGCGCTCCGCTGCTGGCGGCCCGGGTTCGGATCCCGGGCGTGCACCGACGCACCGCTTCTCCGGCCATGCTGAAGCCACATCCCACATACAGCAACTAGAGGGATGTGCAGCTATGACATACAACTATCTACTGGGGCTTTGGGGAAAAAAATAAATAAATAAATAAATCTTTTAAAAAAAAAA